TGTTTTCGTTATCAATTCATAGATTAGGTCACATACGGTCATATGTATTCAGGAAAACTAACGCGAAATTAAAATTCATTACGTTCTCTCCATTCCGGTAATACGATTTCTTACTGTCTGCTATAAGAGATAAAAAAAAAAAACTTAGACGACTAAACGGCACTGTTGTGCGTTAAATTAATTGTTGCGAGGCTTTGATCGGACCAATTTATAATAATTAGCATTAACACTGTCTAGAACTTGTGCATACAATAGATAGCGTTTGCTAATAATGATCAAACAAATTTACTTGTGTGTGGAGGCAGGCTTTTTTTTTATGTAGATATTAATGTATTTCATTCACTAAATATCAAAACGTTCACATTTGACGCCTGACGGGTTCAAAACCATCGACCTTTAAGTCGAGTTTTATAGTTTACATTACATTTTACCGGGCAATGGTCGTACAACAATGTATTGAAAATCCATTTTGCACACACAAAATATTCATTGAATGTATTTAATAATATATGATTACATTGTTAAATTAATATACTGATGTGGTTGAATTATTCTTGGCGAATTCTTGTCGTTACTCGACAGCTAAACTTAAGTCAAATGCTCTAGCGCAAAAAAATTATTAAAAATAACAATAACGGTGCGATGCACTCGTGTTTTCACGATATATTAATATCATGAAAAATCTGCGATGGAAAGAAAAATAATAATTTTTCGAAATATTACAGAGTATAATACTTTTGCCAATTTACCTAAACCGGAACAAAATATACACGTGCGATCGACACATATTTCATGTACAATTTGCAGCAGACACGAGGAGATGCGATGGCGTGGCTACGATCATAGTGAAAGTGCCCTATTGGAAAATTAAGTTAAACCGTGTGGCGATACTGTGACAAATTGTGCAGCACCAGAGGCAACGACCGAGTTTCCATTAAACAATACAAATCAATGCTGTACTCATTATTTGTAATTGTTTTTGACTGACCAAATGGAATGTTTAAAAAGTAGTCGTTTTTGTGATATCTTAAAATGGAAGCCCCTGGGCTATTTTTTATATAATCCATGTAAAACAAAACTTCCAAACGTTTAAAACCATAATGATTGCAAACACAAATTTCAATTAAAATTAGTCACTAGCATTGTCTTAATTTGATCTTAGTCAAGGACAGAATCTACGTTATAAAATGTTCTCAAACTTCTAAATAAAAAGAAAACTTTATTTTTTTATTACGCAATTTTTCACATCAAAAACTATTTGACAGTGAATTTCCCCTGATAATTGAGTCAAGTTATTTTTCTCTGGAAATTGATAAATGACACAAATTAAATCAACAATCTTAAAATACACGTCGAAAATAATTAGTTACAAGTAAAAAAGTATTAAGAAAACACTATATTTGTTTATTTATATACAGAAATTAAGAAAATCTTATTAAAATTATATTACATGATACTCAGTTTTGAATAGACATTAATTAGTAGTTTGCAGCTTGATTTAGTTATTTTTTAAAGTCATTAATAGTATAATATATTTTTTAATATATTAAATATTGGGTAAGTATATATTATAATAGTGTCTACCAAAATAATGATGATTTTTTTTTTTTGCATATTTTTTATATATAGTAGGGTAAAATATTTCAGATTGTTTATAAAGTCTATTAATGTCCTGGCAAATATTTTTTTTTATTTAAAACAAAAGTTCACTATTCATTTTCTGAATACAAAATATAAGAGATCCATACTCAAAGAAAAAAACAAATTTAAAAATATTTCTTTAGTGACAGTTCAACATTTGATTTCAATAGTTTATTTAAAAATTATGTAAACAGAAGAACCGTTATCAATGACAAAAAAATGGCTACAGTAAATAAATGTTTGCATAACCTTTGTTAATAATGTATCATGAACAAATATGTTAAGTATTTTCAGTGCCAATTGATTATTTAATACGTTAAACGGTACTCTATCTGTTGTAATAAATAGTTGTATCGTTTAAAATATTTTAATCCTTATGTGCAATTTAAAACGATTTAAAAACATAATCTTATATCGAAACACAATCATTATTCTGTAAAATGAGTAATCAACATACATTTTCTATACAAATTGATTTATATATATATATATAAGTTAAAAACAAAAAACAATAATACAGAATTGTTTTTAAAACTTAAAAATAAACGAGGATAAATTAAACTTGATTAAAATTTCGTAAAAAATTTTTCCGACGCTAAAAATGGTTTCCATACATTGTTATACAAATTCCATTTGAAAGTTTAAGCTTAATAATGGTATCTAAGAAAACTTTATTTAACTGACCTAGTTGTTTCTAATCAAGGGTTTAAAAATCTTTTTTCTTCTCTTTTGTTCTAACGGAATAAAACCTCCAAACGGTTAATTTAATTTCTTAAAGTTAAATTATATATACATTTTTCATACAATTTAATATGATTACAATTTAATGCACGTTTAATTACTGCTTAATAAACATACGCGTAAATGTTCATTAGGTGGACAATGGAGAGAGTAACTTCGTTTGAGAAGCTGTTGAATTATTTTGTTTTAATAATATCTTACTGATTTATTTATCAGTCGGTCACACAAAAATGCTATAGAATTATATAGAAATAGAAATTTATGTAGATTACAGTCGTTTAGAATACATAAATTAGCGACAATTAATAACGATAAAATTGTAAAAATCGAATTATGATAACATAATTAGATTGTTTCAAGTACAAGGATGATTAAATTTAGCCATTAAATGATGATGTCCTCGTAATGAATACTGAACTGACAATCAACAGTATATTCGTGCCATATTTTAAAACTTATTACTTATGGATAAATTGTACACAGATAATTTACCATAATTTAATATAACAATAAAAATATTACATGTAATATTTGTGTGGTTCATATCAGCTGAAATTTTAGATAACCCCATTGTTTACGCCAATAGATACCTCAAAATATCAGCTTATAGTGTTCATAACTTATAAGTGTAAATTATGCACGTGTGTAAACTAGTTTTAACTTAATAAAGTATTAATCATGCATTCGACATCAAAGTTGTCATCAATTTAAAAATTATATTCCTAGTAAAAATCTATAAAATGTACAAAGTAAGAATTGTGTTAGCCAAATTTACGTATCTCGCACGTGCAAATATAATTAGCATGATGGCTGTGAATTCATATACTGCATTATTTTTTTAATTAAAAAAAAATTTAATTGACAAAAAACGTGTAGTTCAGTGATTTTTTAATATAGATTTACATTAATGTGAAAATCGAAATTCTAGAATGAATGTCTTCAAGCAGAGAGTCTGTTTTTATTTTATATTTAAAACATTACTATGAAAATAATTAATTGAAGTACTATAATAAAGATCATAACACTATTCTGATAAAATAGTTATTTATTTCAAATAATAAATAAAGGCACAAAAAAGAATATACATTAAAAGAGTGCTAAGGGTAGAAAAGGGATCAGAACCACTATGAAATAAAATATTTGTTAAAAATACAATTTGGAGTGGATAGTAAAAAATTGTTTTGTGTAAAATAACTGTGTCTGTTACAAAATATTGACCGTTCTAGTGATAAAACTTTTTAATAATATAATACTAATAATACTATAAAATTAATATTAGTAAATAATATACACCTTGTAAGTTTTAATTTGATAGTTAAAAATATTCTAATAAATAAAAAAAATAAATTGAATTTAAAATAAAATAGTTTTTACCAGAAAAAAACCTTTTTAAAAATTTAAATTTATAAATTATGTATTCATATTCGAGTGATGAAATATACAAACATTTAAAATTTTGAATATGTGCCAATAATAAAATAAATATTTTAGTATAATACTTATAGGTATTATTAAAGATACCTTAACCTTTTTTATAAATTAAAAAGCGTTATATATTAAGAATAAATTCATTAAAGAAATAAATCTATATATCATATAAAAGATAGTTTAAAAAAAATTTGTAAAAGTTACTACTAATAATTAAGTTCATGAATAAAACAAAATAGTATTAATAACGTTCTATTGCATTTTTGGCAAAACTAGTACTTTTATTTGGCAACTTGCAAGTAAATATTATTAGTTAAATTTTGGTGTTAATAGTTTTATATACAATACCTATAATAAGTATTTTGAATTTTTAACTTATAATATCATCAACTACTTACTCTTAGTCATGACATTTAACAATAAATTATATAGAATTTATTTTTATAAAATTGAATAATCACAAAATTTATAAATGGGATAATTAAGTTTATGAAAAATTGTTTTAAAGATCTATAGACTAATAATTTGCTTATATGTAGTTTTGAGTAATAAAAAAATGCAGTATTTATATAATATATAAATATTATCTTTGAGTTGTTTTAAACTTAATTAATAGCTTATTTATCAGTGTAATAATAGATCAAGTGTATAATTTATTAATCTAATAATAAAAATTTCATGATAATATAAAATTATAAAGTTTGATGTAAAATAAATTTTAAATAGACTTCTTTTCAATAATTTTTTAATTAAATTAAAACTTTTAAATAAATAAATACAAATGTTTAACAGTTTCAAAAATTAATTTAAGTTAATGATTAAATTGGAGAGTTAAATAGAAAATCCCCGAGTAACAGATTAAATAAAAAAGTTGACTTTTAAAAATAACATAAATTCTTATATTTTTAGCAGTCAAAAAACATTTAAGAATTTTTCGAGTTTTAATAAAAAACTCTCTAATAAAATGAACATTGTACTTTCTCATAATTTAAAAGTAAAAAAAAATGATTTTAGTTTTTTGAAAGACACACACAGTGTACATCTATTGATTTTTGTAAATAATATCAGTCATAACATATGTATTTAAATAAAAAATTAAAACTACAAGTTTGATTAATTTTAATTATTGCTCCTGAGTGAATTATAATTGGTTATAAATAACAGATACTACATACTAGTAAAAAAATTACCTGGGAACACAATTTGAAGGTGTACGGTCTACTTCCCAAGTAGCAAACAGCTTCATTGGTACAGGCCGAGGAGTGGCCAAAGGTGTCTTGACGCATTTTTCAGCCATAACTCAACTGCACTTTTAAACCAACAGCAACTGCACCTTAAAAGCTACTGTCTGGTTTGTCTTGAACAGAAATAATGATTTGCTATGATGCATGTACACTTTTTTATTGAAAGTTAACGCCCGTACGATTTAAGACATGTCGACAGAGTAGAACGACCAAAAGTGTATATTTTTAAGTGAGCTAATTTTGGCTTAAAGTTCAACGAGTGCTTTAAATGAAACAAGTAAATAAGAAATTCAACAGGATACAAAAACCGGGCGAACAGCAATCTAATCACGAGCACGCATAATCAAATAGACTGACAACTGACAGTGCAATAGCAGTGGCGGTGGCTGTTGTGTTATCAACTTCTCTACGGCGGCGGCGGCGGCCGACGCACGCACACACACACAAGCAATGCGCAAGTGTAAAACGGTTATGTGTTCGGTATGCTACACTGGGACTATTAAATATAATTTTGGCGACGTCATGGTACAGATCTGCGATTTTCGTTGGAAAACGAATTAACATCTTGATATAATTATTCATGATTATGTTACAAACATGATGTAGAATTTTGATTATTATAAACAATATTACATGAACACTCTTTCTATGAATTTTAAAAATCGTTGACTCATCAGTTGGACCAATTACTCCACTGAATATTTATGACGTTAGAGTAGATGGAATAACTGTTTAAAAAAATAAGGGTTAGAGGGTACTGTTCGCGAAATAATATGAAGAAGAAAAAGCGAGTAGAAGAAGGGAAGCCTTACATAATCTAAAAGAGCATTTTAATAAGATTTGTCGCTTAAAAATTTGATTTTCTTGAGTTATTGTTAGGGCTTGAGACTTGCTTAGTTTCTTTTATTTGAAATATAATGTAGCACAGAGCTATAGAGATTTTAAGGTTATTTAACAATGATTGCAAATATGAAATTTGAAAATGCTGTTGCTTTTTGCAATTTAAAATAAAAATTATCTTTTTTTTTTTGTGATTCTACCCACAAAATTGTTTTTGATAGAATTAAGTTTAAAAATAATTATATTACCTTACTTGTATTTATTTGTATTATTTTATCTCGTTATGTAGTGTTGATAAACATAATATATTTCCATGTTTTTATCATATTCATTGGGCGGTGGCTAGGAGGCTTAGACCTCCAGAAACCCAGCAAAATTTTATGCATTGTTATATAAAATTTATTTTTGGAATGTGTAAAAATTAAATTTAGGTCTACAAAAAAATTTGACCACTCTACGTCTATGAATTTTAGTAGAGGAATTCCATTAAATATTGAAAGCAATTTTTTATTTTACTTTTTTAAAAATTATTACAATAGTTGTCAATTCACATTTCCCTTTTACAGTCGACATTGCGAATAGATATCGAAGAAAGTTATGATCGCCTTTTATACAAATAAATAATATAGACTTTTATTTGGTACAGGATATCTTGAAAAATAATATTAAAAAATATTTTTTCAAAAGTTCTATTCTGAAATTTTACATTGAAAAAACTGTTTAAGTGTTTGCACATAAACATATATATATATATATATATATAAGAAAATAGTTCACATTTCCCTCCAGACGAAAAATAAATATACCTTTACCATATAATTATTTTTGTTATGGGGATATGATACTCATGTCTTCCTCCACATAATTACGACAGTGCACATAAATAACAGTGTTCTATAGATATTGTTGATAGTTGAATTATTTTTATAAAAAGGAATTAAAAATAAATCTAGATTTGGAGTGTGTCTATAAGGAATTTGGAAATCAATCAAAGATAATACTTCTGGACAGATAACAAAATCGTTAAAAATAAACATAACATCAGCTGAATTACTATCAAGACATAGTGCTAATGCAATCTTTCGTGAGAAAAATCCAAGAAAAAAACTTTTTTCAAAAATTTGTATTGTATAACATTATTAAGTTTATTATTATAAGTAACATAACTTCAAGACAAAATTCAAAAATTGATATAACGAGCACAATAAAGAATTTTCTCACAAAATGATGGTTTATAATCATAAATATTTCTAACGATATAATGTTATAACTTATAAGATTCAATGGAGGATATTAACTAATTAAAAAGTTAAAAATTAAATTTTTTAAACTTAACTAGTTAATTATTTTTCTAATAAACTTTTTAACTTCACTAATTTAATCGTCCATTATAACATAGCTTTTTCAGTTAATTAGTTAAAAAACAGTTAAGTTAACTTCAATATTCCATAAAAAAATATATGTGTTTATACTGCGTACGTGGTTTAATTTGAAAAAATGAACCCCCCAAATATTATATTTATATTTATAAAGTTGAAAATCGATTCTTACCTTTCTCTTGCGTTACCGACCAATAAAAAATGATTTTAAGAGACTTTAGCCGAAAAATTAATTTTTAAATGAAATAAAATTTTTTTTAATTAGTTACATTAAAAAAATATATCAAGATATCTCTTAACTTAGGTAGTTAAATTTGTTAACTTTTAACTGTTAATTTATCGACATTAATCATACTTAACTAAACTTGAGTTAATTATTTCCATTAACTTGTCCATCTTTGACAAGATTTATTTAAGATCTTTTTTATTGGTTAATTTTAAAACTAAGCTCGTGTTAAAAGAATATACCTTAATATTTTGTAGAAGTAACTCGTAAAAATTTTTTACTAAAAAATCATAATTATTGATTTTATAATTATTAATAAGTGATTTTTTATTCTGAGTGAAAAATATCATTTGACATTTATTAGCATTTAGTGGTGGTCGAATATTTTCACATCAAAATTATGTATTATTTAAATTTATTTGTAAAATTATACATAATATAAGCTTCATTAGTGTACATGACATGCACCCACGGAGGATAAATCATAAGAAGATAAAGATACGTTCTATGAGGAACTAGAAAATACACTGAGCTCGATATTCAGTAATAGGATACAGATCGTTCTAGGAAACTTAAATGCCAAAGTCGGGAATGAAACTATGTTTAGATCAATTACAGGAAGTCACGGTCTACACAGTGACACAAACGACAACGGACTTAAATTGATAGATCTGGCAGCTGGGAACGGTTTAGTAATAAAGAGCACAATGTTCCCCCACTAAAACATTTATAAAGGAATACGGAGGTCACCTGATGGAAGATACACTATATTCTGGTTAATTCAAGATTTAAAAATTGTATTCAAGATATCAGAACGATCAGAGGAGCAGACTCAGACTCAGGCCACCATATAATAAAAGGTAAAATGAAAATCAAACTAAAAAGACGCCCTCGAATAAATGAGGAACTAACCAGATATGATATAACCAAGTTGCATGACCCGAACTGTCGTAACACCTTTAGATATAAGATACGTCAACTTTTTAATGCTAATAGAACAGACTCATTATATAAAAGGTGGAAAAAAAGTAAAGGGCATTATAAATAATGTATCTGATGTTATAATGGGAAAACAAAAGAAACATGGTTCAACGATACATGTATGAGAGCTTTAAAATGGAAAAAAGAATTTAAAAATAAATGGCTTAATGACCCAGCAAATGTCGAAAAAGAAAACAACTACAGAATATGCAAAAAAGATGTAAATAATATAATCAGATACGAAAAAGAAAATACACTAAAACACGCTAAAGGAAACAGAAGAGTACCATTAAATGAATATTGTCACGTCATCTATTCCAAAACATCAATTTTATTAGAAAAGGATTTAAGAAACAAGTAAAGTTTCTTAAAAATAGCGATGGCACGCTGATTACAAATACAAATGATATTCTGGATAAATGAAGAGACTACTTCGAACACCTCCTTAATTGTGAGGATCTCATAGATTTATTTGCTTGGAATGACGTAGATTCCAATGAAGATAAATATTCTTCATCATCTGGAATTGAGATAGCACAACAAATCACGAGGTTAAAAAATCATAAAACACTGAGTGAAAATGGGATCCAGGGTGAAATTTTTAAGTATGGACGAAGAATCCATTTTAGATATACAAAACCGAATAGAATTGGTGTGGAAAGAAGAAAAGATCTCGTAGGATTGGAGAATCGCGTTAGTATGCCCGATACATAAAAAGGACGATCCATTAGAGTGCAACAATTAGGGGCATTGCATTTCTTAACACGCCTTATAAAGTGTTGTCGTATTGCATCCTAGACAGAATTAAACCGATCGCGGAAGGAATTTTGAGAGACTACCACCAAGGATGATTTAGACTAAACAGATCAACATAGACCAAATCTTTATTATAAAACAGGTGTTCCAAAAAATGTGGGACAAGGGGTATACACGTTGTATGTTGACTTTAAAAAAGCATACAATTCTATACATAGGCTGAGCCTATTCAATATATTAAAGGATATAACCTTCCAAAAAAAGTAATTAATCTCATTAAGACGAATTTATGGACCTTATCTTAACTTACGAACCGGAAAATGGAGAATATGAACCAATGAGGAGCTCCATAATCATGCAAATCAAAGGAAGCCGCAAAAAGAAAGTTAATGTTGGGACTGGACACGCTTGAAGAAAAAAGGACACAATAATAAAAGTAGTAATTGAGGAGGATCTGATAGAAAAAAGACAGCTAGGTAGGTCATGCCTTAGATAGGAAGATTGCGTGAAGAGAGACATTGGAACAGTGGATCCAGGAGAAAACTGGAGGGAAGTAGCAGAAGACAGAGAGCGGTGATGGAATATTTGTTGTACGGGATGGTCTTAAAGGCCGGATAATCCCCCCCAAAAAAAAAAATCAGATCAAGTCTTAAATTTGATTTAAAATTAAAAAATGTATTTTGAATAATCAGTAAACAATAGAATATTAAGATTCATCTAAAAAGGTCATTACAAGAAATAAGAAATAATAATGAAAATAATAATATTTTCTTGAAATACTAGCGTCAATGAGTTTTGTTACAAGTGAAAGCGTAGAGATTGTCCTTTTTTATTTTTATCACCTAATTAAAAAATTGGAGAAGTAAAAGGTTTTTTCCAATCATATTACATACACTCCTATTAATTCAGATGGCACGCTATGTCAAATAGTAAATGATAATTCAACATTTCATCTAATAGAATATTCTTTGCAAATTTATGTGTATACTTTAATTTTTTTTAGAATGCATTCCAAATTTTAGATGAATGTTTTTTTTAAGGATTTATGAATGGGAATAAATTAAATTTTTTAACTCGAGTCAAAAAGGATATTACCACACGTTTTAGCTAAGTAAATACAACGTATATCACCTAAGCATAAATCAATATTAATAGAAATCTCTAATAATGGACTAGTCCCAGTTATATAATATTCAATATTTGTTTTATTTTTAAATTAAAAATTGATTTTAAAGGCACATTAGTATAGAAAAATATAGATCGAATTTAAAGAGGGGGAAGCATTAGTGGACTTATTTTTCTTATTTTTAACTCTCAAAATATTTCCTGAGTATTGTCTTATTTTTTCATGAATTGGTAATTGTATGGATAGTTGAAACTCTCTAAATGGTATTGAGGTTTAAATATACCTTGTCACATTAAGTCTAAATATAGTATAATTTCAACCTCTTTTTTTTATCATTTTTAAAAACCTTAAAAAAGAAATATTATAAGAAATAATAATAAAGTAAAAAATATTACTGTACTAAATTAATTATAAAAAAAAATTTAATCAATAACACAATCAATTTTTATTTCTCATTTAGTCATAAAGTTTAATTATAAAACTAATGAACAGCAATAAGAAACGATTTTATAAAATAAAAATATATTTAATAAGACTTGAGTACTAAAATTAAATTTAACATCTAAAAAAAATTAGAAAATAATTTTCTTTAAAAATATATTTGGTTTTCTTACATGTAATAAGAAAAATTAATAAAAGTTTGAATTTTTTAATTGAGGAATAAAACAACTTAAAAACATTAGAAATATAATAACCAAAATAAAACAAACGAAGGACAAATAAGGCAAATTTATTCACATTTTATTTTAAATATATTTGAAAACATAAATCTAACATATTATGCTACAGTTCTTAAGCAAAATTATATACATTTATACTTTATCAGTTTTTTTTAGTTCTTCCATTTTATTGACAATATTTCTTTCCATTTCTGCTTCGAAACGCCATCTCCAATAAGCAGCCTATAATATTAAATTAATATTTTATTTTTAATATAAATAATTACAAGTATCATATCTGATATTAAATTACCTTAGTTCGATCCCATAAAGCTTGAAAGGAATCTAAAGCAGGTCTTACATCTAACGCTGCTACTTGATATTTGTTATCTGTTTTATCAATACTATAATAATCAATAACATAACGGACATCTTTTCCACAACGGTCAACAATCCAATCATGTCTATCAAAAGGCATTTCATAACCCATCCAATTTCGTATTCTTGCTCTAGGAGAATAGTCCTTAGCTTTACCACCAAAGCTTCTTAGTGTTGGTGACATACACTCATTTGCATGAAAAGCTTCCCATTTAAGTACTTCCCGCCAAGCTAATTCATTATTAAAATTATGTATTTTTATTATTACATCCATATCCTTTGGTGATAAGTCATCATCTTTCCAACGCCAACCTTTGCGTAACATTGCATTCCAAAACATCTAAATAAGTTAATCATCACTTATTTATTAATCTTGAAAAAACATTAAAAAACACATGTTAATTTTAACAAGCTTTATTTTAGAATAAGTAATTATAGATGATCTATTGTAGTTTATCGTCAAATTAACAGAAATAAATCAGTTTGGTATGAAAAACTTTCAATATGCAAAAAATGAAATATGTATCACAAAATATCAATTTTCTTTTTTTGTTTCACAGTAATATATATATATATATATATATATATACATTTACCCCCTTTACTTTTCCTTTTATTTGTTTATATATTATTTTATTATACATTTATTAAAAAAAAATATTATATCTCCCTACTATATCCTAAGACATTCAGCCTGTTTTATATGTTATTGTACTTAGCACATTTTTCTGGGAAAAACTCAATTTTTAATTTTTTAGTACATGTTATTGATTTCAAGTCTTCATTTTTATTTTTTTTCAAATAGAGGTTTTTTAAATTAAGCAATTAAATACATGTCTGATTTTTAATATATAAAGTAATCATTCTATTAAATAAAAGCAAATTCAAATTATATACACTGAAAAAATCAATTTTTTTTTTATGAAAAATGTTTGATTTCTATAGTTTTTAATAAATTTATACTTTTAAGAAATCATAAAAATATTTCCCTGTGGATAAGAGATAAAAATACTTCCACAGCCCCTCTGCCAGTCGTAAGAGGCAACTAATAAGGTTATGTCAGGTCGATAGCCGACGAAATTTTTTTGTCAAATAGTATTAGGTGTCTTGAACAAAACTTAGATGAATTTTCCCATCTCAGATATATGCAGGGACAACAATTGAGAGGGAATAAAGTAATTTAAAACGGAGAAGGCCTAAGGAATAAAGTGTTTGATACCAGCCAGACAACTTGTGCGGTAGCTGTTTCTCCAGTCATGTGTACAGGTTTACCCGACACTTGTAGTGTCCACGGTATAGAGACATCACCACTTAACTCTAGGCTGGACTCGTGTATAAGGAAGAACGATACAAAGTAAGAATAGGTACTTTGGAATGTTGGAACATTAACTGGTAGAAATAAGGCCGACCCGAAGTACTTGAGATTAACGTGAGGAAGAAGAAAAAGAAATCATAAAAATAACTTGTTTAATAAACTATATAGAGCTAATAAATATATAAAAATAATATTATTACTAACTTGAGCAGATGGATAAACCCAAAAATCACCTTCAGCCTTAGGTATTGTTGATACTTCTCTATCAGTCGGTAAAGGAAATGGCTGATCTGGTGCAGGATTTTGATTAGGGGGAGGCATCTAAAATAAGTAAAATTCAACATAATAAAATTTATTCTTAATAAACTCTATGAAAATTTAATTATGACTGACTAATTAAAAAAAGCTCATTCAAGTGCTATATCTCTTTAAATAATATGTTATACCATATTCAGCGGATTTATTTCATCATTTGCTCCAGCAATAACGCATCCATTTTTTTTTGTCTGATCCTTCTTTTCAGAGTTATGAAGTATAGGACATTCTGATTTACTTCCAGAAATTTGTTCATTTTTCTTTTCTTTTTTGTGTTGAAGTAATGGACATTCAAACTTCCTTCCAGAGTTTTGTACTTGAGAATTTTTTTCAACGTCATTATTATTGTTTGGTTCACCCGAAGTTACTACCGTTTCAGTAGCATTCATTTGAACCCCATGACTTGAAGATGTATTTCCCATAATAAAAAGTCATTAATTAATAAACGAAATCGTAGAAATGTGTAGATCATGTGTCAACTCTTGATAGTGAGCTCAACTAGTCGACTCAGTGTTACCAGATACGACAACTCTCGACTCAGTTTGGTATATCAAATTTATATAAGACACAAATTATTATATATAATATAAAAATAGACCGGCTGTGATGACTTGATTTAGTAATAAAGTTGGTCATTGATTTAGTGAAATACACAATTGTATTTAATCTATGATTTATTGCAATATAAAATGTATTATAAGACCCCTTCTAAGTGTGAGACATAAAGTAACTACTCTATGGGTAAGAGAGTGCTATGATAAGTATTGATGGGCACTATCAAATAGTTTTGATAATTGGTACATCCGACAGTTTTTAAAAAGCTATCGTTTAATAATGCTATTGTTATCCACGGCAGACTAGTTTTAGATTATCAAACTACCGAATAAAATGTTCGATAGTTTTCATTCAAATATTAAATGCGGAAGAATTATTCGATAGTTTTAATTTGAATAAATACTACCGAATGAAATTTCGGTAGTTTTCATAGGAGTAAAAATTACCGTATATTTTACTTGATAGTTCAATAGTTAAAAGTATTAGTTCATTAACAGTTACGGGGTTTAAAAGTAAATTTATAGGTTTTGTACATATTCAAAAATTTTAAAATAATATATTGTATTCCTATATATACAATGCGTCATCTGTACAAAAAATATATATTTTATACAGATAATACATACATAAGCTTATATAAAGTAATATAGTTAACCCTCGAATTTTAGTTATATTTTATTTTATATTAATAAAATAGATATTATACTCGTATTAGTAAATATATTTGTGTAGATTACACAAGGGTTCAAAAATTAAATTAAATTCATGATTTTCCATTAATATAAATGAAAAAATTAATACTTTCAGATGTATGTTACATAAATCAAAAACATGAGCAATACCAACATTATTTATTTTATAGTTATTAATTATATTAATATGAATAGATCTTACTTAAAACATTTTACAAAATTAGAATCATTTTATGTAGTACAATAAAATAATTTATCTGAAATTTCAAACTGTGTGTATACTTCATCTATAGCTTTAACTAAGATATCATATGTATGTGACCCTTCTAGACTTCTCAGTGTTAAAAGACAATTAGTATTTAATAAATCCTCTTTGGTCCATGTGACTGTTATTTCAATGTATGATCTAATAAAATATATTACTATCTATAAAATCTGTTTAATAACATACTAAAATAATAAAAACCTATACAAATAAAAATAAATCTATTATTTACTTTTTAAAAGTCGACCAACAATATGCAGTGGTAGTAATATGGTCACATTTAAACATCTCAAATTTTATTTTTAAGAATAATTTGTGAAGGTCATTTTCAATACTTTTTATTAAATGAGGCCGAAGCATACATTTTTCTGTTGGGGAAACCTCATTCAATTATTTCCTTTAAAATGGGATTTTCAATTATTCTAAATGGTAAATTAACACTTATAATACATTTTTGCAGTAGTTGATCTAGAGTATCTGAAATCAAAATGTTATAATATTGATAACAAAGAATAATAGTTTTTATAAAAACGTATGATATAAGTTTTTTGATTTAAGCTAATATTATTGACAAATAACTTTATAATTTTATGTATTATAAAGTTGCAGTTTTGGAATTTTTTCAACTAGAGACCCTTAATATTAAATATATGAGTACACTAACACATAAACTTATGTATTATGCAAGTAATTTCGTTTATGCTTCAACTTGATACATGTGACTAAAATAAAAAATTACTATGCATATTTTTACTTTGGTTAGTTAACTTTTTTTTTCTCAAAAAATCCTCCAAAATTGCCTGATTTATCTGTTTTTCTTAAAGTTGTTTTGAATCATTAACACTATTGTTTTTCAGTGTTCCATCATTAATCTCTTTGAAGTTTCTTTCTCCGCTCCAATATGATCAATTATTTTTAATATATTTGGATGTTGATTTTGAACATAGTTAAATGATAAAACTTTAAAAGTTTTAATAAATCTTTAAATTCTTAATTTACTACACTCTAGTATGACATACAATAGTGAACTACCGGATTTTATTTTTTCAAAAGTATGAAATCCAATAATAAATTTAATAATAGAAACTGTAAGTTATAAAAGAAAATATTTAAAGCAACAAGTTTAAAAATATAATTAAACTTATCTATTAAACTTCAAAGAAATGTAGTACTATAGAAAATTTTATGTTAGACCTAACATAAACTAAGTAAAAATTTTAATATCAAAACTTTCAGATTACAATGAAATAAAATTTTTTTCTCAATTTTATTTATGTTATATTATATATAGTATAATTAATAACAATAATAATATGAATAATAATTTTGGAATTAGGGACCAAAAAAGTATTTTATTTTTTTTAACTTTCGCTATTATAATTGCATAGAAAAACTACAATCAGTGAGTATGCTTCTTAATAAAAATATATAATGGTCATTGTAAATATTTTGTAGAAAATAACCTTGTAATAGTGAGAAACATTTAATTTTAATTTTAAATCAAGCACATAACTATTCTGTGTTGTATTTTTTGGGCAAATTATCTAGTCATATAGATAAATGATTGAAATCAAAGATTTATTTTATAAATAATAAATATTAGTTACTAACTATTAAATAAAATTACCATACATTATAAATATATGTTAATGATTTAATATTTAACATGGTGCATTAAATTGATGTATGTTATAAGAAGCAATCTCGTTTTATACCATTTAAGATTAAACATTTTTTTGAAAATGGGTATTTAAAAAAACCAAATAATAAATTGATTTTTTTAGCTATAAACCAAGAAAACATTGTGGTCTAGTTTGATTTATTTTATCAACTTTAAAGTGAACAAGATAATATTAAAATCTACTTCTCAGTTTTAAGTGTGCCCTAGGATTAGGTTTATTTAAAAAAATCATAACTCGAAGTTTATAGGTTACCATGAAACCTTTTGTGTAATATGAATTTTATTATACGTTTAAAGTATAAGGATTCCTAAAAATCCTTATATTTTATGTTTCATTTGTTCAAAGTATAAAAACTTAGTTTTATTTCCATTCATACCCATCCTATCCTTTTTTATTAGAAAAATAATTTTAAATCTTTAATCGATTTAATTTATTAAGTAGCACTCATGATCATAATCCTAAGTTTCTAAAGAAATTATCTGAATATACAACACATGTATTATTGATGCCTCACTTTGTGATACCATTATTTTTAAGACCACTTAATTATTGTTTCATCAAACTTTCAATATAATAAAGCATTTCTTTATTGTAAATATTGTTCAGTAATATTATTAGTTAATATTATAAAAGTAATATATTAAATTAAAGAATGTTGTGTTGGACAATGTCTCTTTAAGGTTCTTTAAATAATTTTATCATACAGCATATTTCACTAAAATTTATTTTATTTTTATATAAGCTAATTCTAAAAATTACTTACAAATTTAATATACTACTATACGTTAAAAAATAATTTTATTACTTACTTTTGAGTTAAACACGAAACAAATTATTAACAGGAAAAATACGAGAGAGTCAAAAATCTTGTCAGTTCTCAAAAGGTGCATTTATAAAAATGATAATATTTGTCAATAATTTGCGGGAATGACACACAAATCACAACTTAATTAAATCACAATTATTAGAATTGTTGGTCAATGGTTATCGGCACGTCTAGTTATTGCGCCAAAGCTCACCAAATGAATTCGCGCTAGTCCAATAGTCATTATAGATCATTGTTATATTTAAAATATTATTATTTTATTAATTTACTAATTAAAGGATTAATCATTATATTAAACTATAACTGTATATATAACTGTTATAACCATTATAATTATTATAATTGTACTTAAAATAAAATCAAGTACTAGGTACAAATTGATCGAATGAACAGTACATAAACTGAGAGCAAGGTTACCAATTGCACTATTGAACATTAATAGTACTATTTTGAACTTTGAACTGTCCTAGTACTTATGAAAAAATACTGGGTTACTTATTGAACGCTGAACTTTCCAGCACTTGTGGATCGCTTGAACCAAAGTAATGCTACACGGTTCAGTCAGGATTGATATGGAAGATTTGTCCAGATAGATTTAAGATGCAGACAAAATCATAATTATTAAACTAGTCACAACGAGGTTTGGTAAAATAATGATAATTTAGTACACTTAAATAAAATAAAATAATTTTTTTGGCGTAAAAAAATATAATTGAAGTTATTTAATAAATCAAAAAGGAATAAAAAGAGTAATAATAACCACATTTATTTTAAACCAAAAGTTTAAAAAAATTTATTTATAAATTGTAATCATTATACTAATATTTTAAGTTTTATACTCTATAATCAACAGCAACATAATTTATTTTATTTCAGACTCAACGCAATAAATGGACTAATCCACAATTTTTTCCTTAAAATACACTTAGTTTTATCGCACAGTTATTGTACAGATAAATTTTACAACATAAAACCAAAGTCTATTAAAAATTAAACAAAAATAACTTTTACACAATTAAATAAATTAGTTGTCTACAATTTAGTTATAAATAACAATTTTTAAAACTAAAATAGTACAGAATTACAATCTTTTTGTAATCAATACATAATGTTTCAATAATATTAATAAAATATTATTGATAGTATTAATAATATCAAGTATAATAAAAATTTTCTACTACAAGTCTAATATAATTATATTTTATATTTTTGTGAAATAAACAATAACAACATTATACTCATTTAAAATATTAAAAACTATTAGTAATTTATAAATATTTCATAATATACATTATTACATATAATAAAATCTCATTAATATTCTTTTCATTTATGCAAATATTATTCATACTAGTGATTTAATTTAAGTGAATTGTGTGAAAACAAATAAACGTGTATCTTATACATATAATATAAAAGGAGGCTATGTGGTGTTTCAGAAAAAGTATCATTAAAAAAACATGCATAATATTAATCCATAGAATAAAAAATATTTATACTACAAAATTTACTTTGAATAAAGAAATATGTTTCTAATTTTTGGATTTTTGTAGATAAAAAATATATTTTTTTATATTAATTGAAAAAATATCATATTATACATAATAGTAATTTAGCTTGGTGAAAATTTTAGACCTAGCTGGAGTAATGGTTGTTACATGATTTAATAAGTATACGGAAAACCAATAAGATCTTGATTCACAATTTGAGGCTGCGACTATAATTTACAATATATGAATATGGAAAATTTACAAAAAATATGTATAAATATACATAAAATAATAAAATTGATAATTAAGATTATTTTATTTACAATTTAACAACAATTAATATAAGCCTATTGGTAAATCTATAATATATATATTCCGTATGTATGTATGAGCTTATAAATAAAACTAAATTTACAAACTATGAAAAAAATGACAATGTATTTATTGCTGAAAGTTAAATTTGGGTATTTTATTTAAGACATATAAAGTATTATTGATATAAATTATTTTTATAAAAGGTGTGATTCTAATAGGAATTCTTAGGTTCTTTAATAATAAACAAAAATTATTATAGTCTATAGTATAAAAATTATTTAATAAAGTAATACTCCAATATACATTAGTTAAATAGATAATTTTTTCTCTACAATTTTAGGTTTTATTTAACCAATTTATTAGAAAAAAAATTCTGCTAACTGTTATACACTCTGAAACATTGAAAAACTATATGACAATCAATAAAGCATATTAGACACTTAATAAGAATTTCATATACTTATTTTTCAAAAATTTTAAATCATGAGTACTGGTCTTGATGTAGTAGATAAATTTAATATGAATTTATTATAAATAAATAATAGAAATTAATTAAAATAAAATATATAATTTTTAAGTATTTCAACATAAAAGAGACACAAAATAATTCAAGAGATTCACTTATATTTTTACAAAACAATTTTTTTTTGCGTCACTATGATGTTTTACCAAATATAAGGAAATGATAAAAAAAAAAATATAATAACAATAACTTAATAGAATCTTAAAGTTAAATTATATATAATATACCGTGATGGTAAAAATCATACAAAAATGTTAGCAAGAAGTAGTATAATAATCGATACATGAATAATAATTACATTATCACTATTAATGAGCATAAAAGTTCATATACTTAGGCATAGAGAGCAGTAAGCAATGTAAATACAATATTTGGTAATATTATACTATACAGAGTGTTCAGTAAGTCAGGAAACGGGTTTCTATTGTTCTCATTGTTACAAATTGTTTGTAACAATGAGAACAATAGAAACCCGTTTCCTGACTTACTGAACACCCTGTATAATACCAACTAATAAGTAATAACTACTAACATGCATTATTAAGTCAAACAATTACTTAATAATAGTTCAGTTTATTACTTATAATTTCCAAGCTTTTCTTGAACACAGTAAAATAGGACTAGAACTACTGTTTTTATAAATCATAAAACGTAAAACAATAACAATAAAATTAATGATAATAAAATAATTTAAAAAGTGTTGCCTACAATATGCTTATGATATAAAAATATCATCTCTTAACCTATTTGTCTAATGTGGAGCAACAAAAATATTTTACAAAAAGGCTAGTAAATAGACTAGTTTTTAGTATTCTTATGATGACTTATCATTATTGTCCGATTTAGAAGCAGTTGATAAAATATTTGTTCCTAGCAAGGTAGCTTTCTCTTCTACAGAAGCATCAGAGTTTCCTTGAGGGGTCCGTGAAAATGATACTGCTACTGGTTGAGTAACTTCACCATTATTTAAGGTCACTGTTGTATTATCAGAACCTGTTATTGCAGCTGAAGCAGTAGACGTCTAAAAATAATAAAGAACAATTATTTAAGATCAATTAAGTTTTTAAATTATTTGTATTAATTAACATTAGACATGTGTTCAACATTTAGCTCACACAAAAAAAAAAAAACCACAAGTATAGAAAAAAGTTGTTAGTTCAAAAAACTAATACTTTTTATAGCCAAAAAATTACTTTATAAACTATGGAAATTAGTAATACAATTTTAATTCTATGATTACACAATTATATAGGTTGGGAGTTTTTATTAAAAAATTAAGTGTTACTTAATTATAGATTTTCTATGGCAAGTATTTGTAATAAGTTGAAAAAATCATTTAATACCTTTTACCACATACTCATAAATTTAAGTAATTAAAAAAAAAACAGTGTAAAATGGTTAAAAATCTGATAAAGCTAATCTATCACACAATTAAAATTATATGATCAATGTATAAGTTACTACAAATAAATATTTCACAAGTAATAAAATCTAATCTAATTGTGTATATAAAGTTGCTGTATTAGAATAGTGAGAAATTGGGTTATTCTATAAGTGTAAAAATAGTAAGAAAAATAACTAAATTTATTTCTTTATTTAACTTAATATAATTTAACATAATATAAATGTATAAAAAAAAGTTTTACAATTTTGATTTTGTATTCAAAAAAAGAAAATAATTCACAATAATAGAAAATTTAAGAAAAAACTCATATTTTTAGTTATTCTAAAATTAACATAAAAATGTAAGAATTAATAAATTAGTTTATTAATAGTAAACATAAGTGTTATTTTTCACTATCACACTTTCTCTACCTCATATAAACAGCTCATTACTATTTCTTTTTGAATTACTTATTCTGCTTTCAGATTTCAGGGGAACTAAAGATTTATTTTGATGATGTAGCTGTACATAAAATACATATTATTGAATTAATTTTAGAAATATAATTAGGAATTGTATATTATGTACATATGAAAATTGTCTAAATGTATATTTAATGTTCACATTATTAATACCTGAATACTAAAATTTTTTTTTAAATTATATTTATTCATTTTTGTTATGGAAGAAAGTTTCTATGATAATCAAATAATGAAAAACAAATAACTATTCTAATGTGAATTGTTTTTTAACTATATGTGTGTATATTATTGACATAAATATGGAGTAAAACTAAAATAGTAAATTTAATTTAATTTTACCACTCACCATAAACAATTAAAAAAAAAAAAAAAATTTATTTTTTAGTTTTAGGCAATATATTGATACAAATTTTTACATAATAGTTTCTAGATATGTTTTAGGTTGAAGGCTGGAGACATTGGATAACTTCACCTATAAATTAATAGTGAAATCTTAAACTTTGGGCTTAATAGTGTTTTTTTTTAAATTTTTCATAATTTAATTTTTACTACGTCATAATACTCATAATATATATTCACACTGAATTATGCTAGATTTAAAACATTACTGAAATTTAATCTATAAAATTATTTTTTAATTTTAATTAATTCATTAGTAAATTTTTTTACCAGTGAAGCATTTCTTGGCATGTCTGGAGATCCTTGTATACTTTTTCGGTCTTCATCGCCATAAGTATGAAATAACTAAAAAATATAAATTTGTAAATATTATATTATAAAATTAAAATGCTTTAAACTAATAAAAATATATTTATAAAAATACTTATCAAAAAAGTAAAAATGAACTTAAGTTATGCGTTTGTTAAAAACTTACTTTATCTACTTCTTCATCAAACTCTCCAGCATTGGACATTTTTTTAGATCTTTCCATTAATGTGGCTCGTTTAGCTGCCATATAGAAAGATCGCTTAACTTTTAAATACATCACTTCTGTTACAGCTCGTACTGTGTAATCTGGTACAAATGTATATCGTAACATTGCATCAATGTTAACTGATTGTATGCTGCCCATATTATTGACAGTTGAATTTCCTACACTTGGATTAGCAGGAGGAGATTCACCTGTCACATGAATAAAAAAAAGTTATTGAAAAATATTTAAATTTACTCAATAGACAATGTTAACCTAAACCAATATTTTGATGTAAGGCTTGTGATCCAAAATAAGTAAATGGACCACTCTCGAAAACAAGATTTTCACGACCAACAGTAACTTCCACACGACCTTCTAGTATAAGTACAAAATAGTCTACAGGTTTCCCTTGTTGGTATATAACACTAGCTGGATCTGATTTAAATCGTTCTTTATCTTTCATTTTTATATGGAATATAACATCTTGTTTAAGTAGACGCATTAAAATAGTTTCTGACACAACATCAGTTTTAAACGCTTCAACACCTATGGAAAAAAATATGAATTATGATCGTCCAAAAACAAATTTATTCACTTATTACTCGAAGATAAAAATTGGAATGTAGCTAATGTCAGTTGAGGAGATATATGTATTCGTTGGTTTTCACTGCGCTCAGCAAATGCAGTAAAATCTTGTGCTCTATATGATCTTTGTTGTCTACGTTGTTTAGATCGATTATCCGCTAAGTAATGATCAGTATTATATTAATATTTTATTTATACACTAATTTTAATATTAGACACTTACTATATACATCTGTTTCATCCATGATTTCAGCTTGAATTAATTCTTCAATTACATCTTCAAGAGTTATTATACCAACAGTTTCATAAAAAGGATCTCCTTCACCTTCACTATTCACCCGATGTACAAATGCCATATGACCTTTGATACCTACAGAAAAAAATATTTTTATTGAGTAATGTTGGTGATACAATAATGAGAAAATAAAATATTCATATTATTTATAAAGAGAGGTTCAAGCTTAATTAAGTAAAAAAAAGGATTATAAAATTATTTTCAATAACTAAAATTTTTGTTACTTATAACAAAGTTATAAGTTTTATTCACTGGACTACAAGGAACTTTCATCATTAACAAAAATATACTTTTCTAAATCAACTTTTTGATGTTTTAAATGTGCAATGAGACTTTTTCTATCACTTCTAAGTTTTAATATTATTACTTATTATTAAAAAATAAGTAATTACATATAAAAGAATAAATAAGAACAAAAAAAAATTGTTTTAAATTAAACTGATTTTGATTTCTAATATGTTAAAAATAAGGAAAAAGACACATTGAACTTATTTTTTTAATCTTAGATAGAAATAATATTAATCATTCCCTAGTAGCTTATGGTGTTTAAAAAGATTTTACAATTGAAATATGAACTGAATTAATTTGAATGATTTACTTTAACTAAAAAAACCAATAAAAAAAAAGCTGTTAAAAAGATCTACTTAATAGAGCGTATTATAAAATTTCATTATAATTGTAAAAATCTATTGATAATTCAGGAGAAACAACAATAATTTTTTTTAGAAATGATTTATATAGTAACATGTTATCAAAAATTTTGGAATATTATAGTCTAGTAGAAGCACACACAAATAGAGTAAAAAAATTATTAAATTACAAAGTAAAATGATTTAATTTTGTAGTTGAAACCTATCATATCAAACTGTATTCGTCAATAAATACTTTGAAAACATTAGAAATGAATGATTTTAATTGTTTATATGGAGAACATGGGATAAGTAACTGTTTAATAGATAAATTAGAATTTTTTTTTCAATTTTTGAGGGTAATATCTTCAACTAGATACAAATTGTAATCATTTGACCTATCATTGAAAAAAGTAGGTCAAGTTAGAGCAGAGAAAATAAATGACAGTTACAAAAAAATACCTTCTTAGCTTTGCATCGAAGATAAAACCTAATATATAGTAAAATAATTTTAATATGAATAAGATATGTCTTCTCACGAAAGGCGACTATAGTGATGGGATTTCTGATCTTTATTGAGGTTATTGAATCTAAATGAGATAAAAATCAAATGAGTTTAAAATTTATTCTAACTTAAAAAGAATTAAGAAAAAAATGCAAAAAATTTCTTGTCAAACGCGGGTTGAAATCATGTACACCCCAAGCGCGTAAGACACAAGCGTGCCGAGTCGGTAACGCTTGTTGGGTAAACCCAACCGTACGTCGCTTCCGTTAAATGAAAAAATAGCAATTTAGTCTAATTCAAATTTCAAAATTATTTTTCTCGATTTAAAAAAAGCAAACAAATTTAAATAGGTTTCTATGCTATATCAATTTGATTTATATAATATTTATGAAAATCACTCCTCGTGTCATGTATTTTAAAATAAAATAAAATACAAAACCCAGAATTTTAACACAAAAATAGCATATTTTTTAATACGGTAATCATTTTCACCATGAAGACTAGAGGTTAAACTTTTTTTATTCAAATCAAAGTATATTACATAAGCTTTAATTTAAGGTATATATAAAAGTGTCAGTATTTCCGAAACATTTTTAAAAATTAAGTTGAAAAAGTTGTCATTTTGAATCACCGCCTGTGGGCAGGTAAAGGATAAAGATTTATAAAAAATATATATCATATGATAGCTATAGACATCGTGCATCTATAAAACAAAAATTATATTGATTCGGTCATTTAAGAAAATGTTATGGCAGTTTTAAGTAAAAATAATTAAAAAAATGTCAAAAATTAGCGATTTTTAAATTTGTAATTTTTTTGGAAATTCCCCTATTTACAAGGAACTAGGGAAATTTTTTTCAATTTTTGATGGTAATGTCTTTGACTAGATACAATTTGTAATCTTTTGATGTATTGTTTATTAAAATCGGTCCAGCGAGAGCTGAGATTGAGCGTTCACAGACACAAAAAAAAAAAAAAATAATAATAATAAAAATAAAACATCATAGTAAAATTAATACCTTCTCAGCTTCGCATCAAAGCTATAAATTGATTGAAGTCATCTTAATTTTTTAGCTTTGAAGCGAAGCTAAGAAGGTATTAATTTTGTCGTAGTCTGCATTTTTTTTATGTCTGTCCATGAAAATTCTCATCTCTCATTGGACCGATTTAAATGATCAATACGTTAAAATAACCCGACTCTAAACTGATTAAACCTGTGTGTTCGAAAATTAAAAAAAAACACTCAATTTAGAGACTTAAAAAAATATCTTAAAATTACACTAATGTAAAAAATAGCATTTTCAACATTTTTTTTTATATTTTAAAACTGAAATGAATTTTATTTTTAAACACTTGTCCAAATGAAATGTCTCTTAGTATGCTGTTTATAAAAATCCAATGATAAACATAAAAACAGGGATGGTTTGAAATAGACCACTTACGCAAGTATAATTTTTTTTTCAATTCGATGTTATTTGTATACCAATTCTTATCGCACATAAAGTGTTTAAACTATTTAAAAAAATAAAATAAAATACATAAAAAATGAAACAGGAGAAGTGTCTGGTGTGTTATGCGATAAAAGAATTCCAATGATACTGAAAGGTAAGTTGGGCGGTTGACAAGAAAGTAGAGCAGAGAATGAGTGTATTAGAAATGAGGATACTTAGATGGATGAGTGGAGTGACTAGAGAAGATAGGATAAGGACGAACATGTAAGAGGAAGTATAGGTGTAGTGTCAATGATAGATAAGATGTGAGAAAATAGACTTAGATGGTTTGGTCGTGTTATGAGGAGAGAGGAATCGGAAGCTGTAAGAACAGTTATAGAAATGAATACTGAAGAATGAAGTGGTAGAGGAAGATCAAAAAAGGGTTTGAGGGATGTAATCGAATATGATATGAGGACGGCTGATGTGTGCGTAGATGATGTGGGGATCGTGTCAAGTGGAAGTTTACGATAAGGGTGGCCCCGACTCCAGTAGTTGGGATTAAGGCGAGGAAAAAGAAGAAGATCGAATAATTAACCTCGATATTTAACAACCACATGGTTGTTCCATTCAAACAACGACCATTATATGGCGAAAAGCCAGTTACGCACTCTAAGATTGTAGAAATGATTAAAAAAATGAATCGAAATACTTTTTATGTGGGTAAAAAGTCAACGCAAGAAATTTTCAATAACCTGAGCAATGTCATTAAAACATATGTCTGTCTATTTTTGTAATATTCTGAATTTTTTTAGTGAATCATTTCATATTCCTCATAAGCATTTCTTTATTAAATGTTTCATTAGGGATTAAAATGGTCACATATTAATCAAACCAGATAATTGCTATATTTTTTATTTTTAAATACCACTTCATATAGAAATTTTTTTATTGTTTTGTGGTAACTTTTTATTTTTAATGTAAGTAAGAAATACAATTTCATTTTTACCTTCTTTAAACTGTTTAAAGAGTACGTCCAATGTTGTATCTTCAAAAACAAAATAACAAGGATTTTGGTAAAACTGACAAAGAGTTTTTAGCAAAGTGTTATCATCAGGATCAACTAAAGCTAAATCTTTAATATACAGCATGGTGACTATGTTTTGTCGATTTCCTTCATAGACAGGTATTCTTGAATATCCTGAAATAATTAAACATGATAAATACAAAATAAGAAAATATTTATCTATAAATATAAAATTCGCAAAATTAACAATAGCGCAACAACGTCATACAATGTATAACCACTTAAAAATAATAACATCTTAAGTATGTAAAAAGGATTTCAAGAGGACGTGACAGAAGCAGGAGCATTTTAATAGTACTAATTATTATATTTTAATAGAATCCATCGAGAAACTTTGTTCACTATTTAATGAATGCATTTATTGTACATGATAAATAAGTTACCTTAAATATAAAGACTAATTAGATCAAATTAATTTTTAAACAAGAATATTTTTAGTGTTGAGTTATAAAAACTATAGTGTATTAAATTTTTTTTTTTTTTGTAAGTATAAAGTTATAACATTTTAAATAAATAAGAATTTTTACAAAACTTCTTATTTAAAAATACACAGCATTTTATTTATTTTATGTAATTGTAAAGTTAATAAAACTAAATATTTGCATTAAATTTATTAAAAATGGTTTAAACTTCCCTATTTGTCTTAAAAAATGTATACGCGTACTAATTAATACCAAGTTATATTTATTTATAGCGTATCCATTGCCCCACTATTGGCTTGATGCCTGGTAACACCTAAAAATGACTTAAAATATTTTTTGAACATTCTCATCTCAGCTTTATCCGTAACTCTGACATACACACATTTAAGATGCTGATAGAAACTAATATTATTCTAAATATATTGCAAACGTTGAATAATAAAGGTGGAATATAGCAAAAAAACACCGTCTAGACTTTTGGCGATGTTACGTGTACCTTGGAAGGAACGATTAAATTTAGAAAATAGATTGTACAGAATTTTACAAGATGTCAGTTTGATAAAGTTGCCAAATCTTGACGTTTAATAATTGTTTTTATAGTCAATAGATTTATATTAAATGTAAATTTAAATATAAAAATATTCAAGAATATATTTAAACAATAAATAATTTAACTTGTTATAAAAGGTATTAAAAAAAAAAGTGTATTCATGTGTCGTTATTAATTTTAGTATTTGAAAGCAGACGAACACAAAAATAAACACATAGCTCATGTAAATTAAAAAAAATTAGAAAAATAATATGACCCGAACTGGCACACATTAAGTGACAAATAGTAATAATGAACATAAGAACATCAACTAAAAAATAAATTATTAGAAACGAAAATTAAATTTGACAATTTCATTGTGAATATCAGTGGCCACAAATACATTGTTTTTTTTAGGATTTCATTGTTTTAAATAAAAATAGAAGTGATAATTTTACTTTTAGGTCATTTTTTGGGTTATAATAATTATTGTATATTTGAAATGAAATAGAAACACTGAGAACTCGACAAGACAAACGTGTTAAATAAACTATTAAACTCTTCTACTGTCTTTAAAGCGAATAGTATTAACATCAATAAGTAAATTAGTGCATACATAAATGATTGCCAAACGTCGCGTGAAATTGTTGGACACCTGCTTAACCAGCTAAATCAACTAACAACAAATTGTCACATTTTCATATTCTATTTGCATTGTTTTTTTTTTGTTTTGAGTAGCACTGGTGGGAAATTTTTACAGCATAAATTCTAATTTGAATCATTTTTATAGAAAAGTAAACATTCTACTTTCAAGTAGGGATTAAAATATAAACTCAACAGCAAAAGCACAATGTTCAAATTACAATATCTATTTGCTTTCGAATTGAGAGTAATAACCTGCCACGGGAACGTTGAAAATATAAAACGTGGATTTATCTGAACATAACAATATAGCCCACTAGCGTATAACTCAATGACCTACGAAAATAAAATGTTGTATACGCAGAAATAGTAACGCATATACTTACATTATTCATTAGGTATCTGATCGGATTTCCAAGAACAAAAAATAAACAAAACGCTATGTTTGATTTTAACTGATTCAATCCAAAAGAATTTTATGACTATCAACAAAGAAACTTTACTATAAACTGAGCAAAAGGTACGATCATAGCGCATGAAATATTTACAAAGGTAGCGTTTTGAATTTTTAACTAATCACTTAATTTACACTAAGTATCAAAATTTAATAAAATTTTAATTATGTTTGAATAGCCTAGCCTTTTTCTGTATGTAAGATTTTTATTTTATTTTAGCATAATAGACTCAGAGTAATCAAGAATTCTCGCACCTCATTGTTTAAACTTTCTAGGAATTATATTGATAGTATAACTGGACATTTATTTTAATTAATTTTGTCAACTTGAGATATCTTTTTTTAATCATAAAACCTGGTAATGTTTTGAGCATAAATTTATAACTGTATCAAATCAACTTTCCATTTAATGCTCGTGAATATACAAAACAAAATAATGAAATAACTTACCAGACTTCATGATTTCTGAAACTGTCTCAAAGTCCAATACAGTATCGTAGGATAACATATATACGTCCTCTAATTTGGTCATAACGTCACCAACTTTTTTGCGATGTAACTCTAAGGCACCAGAGATAATATTCACTTCGTCTTTTTCCAAATCGTTGTATTCATCGCCAGTCATCTAGAGAATGAGAGAATTCATTATTATTTTTTATACTTAAAGTTTTATAAATTCTGTATATTTTTATTTTCTAAGTATTAATTTTCTAGAAATACCCAAGTGTAATAAGTAAATTTAAAATTAAAATTGAATGTATAATTTCCCTTGATAATAGACAGGTTAAAATATTTTTTGTATTATTTATAATATACATTGAACATTTCTTTTTTATTCATTGTAATTAACTCGAAAAAAAAACCAAAATAATATACTTTTAAAAATAAAACATGATTAATTCATTAAATATTTTTAATTCTCAAAATTTTATCAAATGAATCAATACGTGTATGATCTGTATAACATAAACCTTCATAGTCACATTAGTAGATCAGAATAAAATAAGAGTAGAATTTTTAAAAATAAATTAATGATCACATGAACGAAAAGAACCCAAATGAAGTTGTTAAAGTAATTTTAAACAATTTTACATCATTTTACTAAGGCATTTTTATTCGATTTTTCAAATTCTTTTTTATTTAAACATTTATTGCGACAAGGAGATGTATGTTTTCTTTGTAAATTTGTAAGTGTCCTTTTTGAATGAATGTTTAATGCCTGTTTACCCTTTATACATTCATGCTTGGGTAATTTTACCTTTTTATTCTCTATAAAAATACCCGAAAAAATGGTACTACAATCTAAACTCAAGATTTATTTTGTTATTTACCCGTAGTGTTATCCCTTATTTACTTTACCAAGCGTTAAATAGACATATAATCTTATATGAATTTGCATTTAAATCATTATTTCGTTAGTAAGACTTTTGATTGAATATATTTAACACGCATAATTTAGTATAAACTTTTTGCAATCAAGAGTTTTCTAGTCTAACAGTTCATAATTACGGTCAACACTTTGTAAATAAGTAATATAGTTCATGTAAAAATTAAAATAATGTAAACTTTTACACTTGTAGTATTACGTTAAAAAATGTAAATTGTTGGTGATATAATAATTCAAGTTTCATGATATTTTTGAGTATAATACACATTTGCGAAGGAAGTGCGGCTTAAGACAAGACACACTATTAGTACATGACGACAATGTAACGCTTCTATTATTTATGTCAAGGCGCCAGATAACAAAATAAAAAAGTAACAGTAAAACTTATCTCGGACGAATATTAAGATAGCAATTCATATTATACGCCCTAAAAACCCTTTACTTATTCTAACCCTGCTGCAAGTTTCATATGCTACACGGGTATAAAATTAAAACTATACCGTTAATAAAGTTTCAATTTTTTATCGTTCGTGTACGTCATGGACAAGTACTATGGTCTTAACGTGTATCAGAGTTCGACTGCGTTAAAACGTACAGGTGATCAGGGGGGTGTCCTTAACGTAAATCAATAACGTGAGGCGGACAGCATCGACCTTTTCTCCTAAATTGTGAACTTGTTAAGTAGGAGACAATAACACAACAATTTGTGTATGTACATTGGTTGACCCTCCATTATAATGAATGTTAAGAAATATAATCAATAAATGGCACTTAAAATTTTTAGTGATAAACTCAGTTTCAGTTTTCAAAGAAATGCATTTTGAATAATTAATACATGTACATTGAATGCATAAAAATCTTTATCCCAGCTATTTTGGGTCGCGGCTCACCTTACAATGATTTGACAGGATTTTTACAACGGCTGTTGACCTGACGCAATCTCATTATGACTGAGGGAGCCAGTAAAGGGCGAGGTGTGTCACTGTTAAAATTTCCGTATGGTCACCCATCCGGAAACCAACATAAAAACAGTGCTAAGGCGACTACTGAATGATCCACTGCGCTACCATTACATTACTTTAAATTAATTACAAGAAATCATTTTAAGTTCAATAATTTCATTATAAATTTATGATCTTGAATTTTTAAGGTTAAAATTATATTTTATTATTATTTAAATATTTTTATATTGCTTTAATTTTTACAAGCGAAGACTATACGAATATTGCGAGGTACCTGATTTTTAGTAGAATTAATTTACACCTTCAGTAATTAGTTGTGAGTGTCATCAACAATCATGTTATCACCCTTTTATGCAAATCAATAGCCGAGCTATTAACAAGTTATATATTTATATAGAAAACCCAATCAATCAAGTTTCCGCCGTCTGTATTATGTATATAAATTAAAATGAATAATAATTTTTATTGTTCATAAAACGGCACGTCTTGTTTTTTAGCACTATTATTTTTTTACATATAATCATTGTTGGTACAAATTATAAAATTATTATATAGCTACATAAATTGTAAAGTGTACATTGTACAACTAAAAACGGTCTTCATACACAGATATTATTTAACTGCATCTGATGAGAAAAGATGTGCACATATTATAACTTAAATGCAAAGTAAACATTGACCTTTTAACCACAAACAAGGGGTATCCCAACGGTTTATTCCTACCGAAGGGGACTAGACTGTTTCTAAGTATGATCTACCTGAGCATAACAAAGTAATGGTCAAGGGTTCTTATACTTGGTTACAACCTCACCAGTTATGTAAAAGTAAACTGGAACACTGGAAAACGTTAATAGAAATTTTTGTATGTTGTGGTGGACAAATAGAGCTACTATAATACAATTTATCTTTGTGTTTAGAATATAATTTTAAAAGTTACAAGTATGACATTTTTTGATCAGTACATAAAATGAACTTTCCAATTTTTAGACATGTCAATACTGTCGAGTGAAATAGTTTATGGTTATTATTTTTAAGGTATCAATACTTTTCTCGGTAAAACTTAAATATACGATTCCGATAAATATTAATATTTTGGTGGTTAATACTACTTCTACTGTTTAGCCAATATTCATAGGAAAGGATTCTATTAATTTTGAAGTATATTTGTAATTTACATGACAAGAAAATGAGTAAAAGTTACCTTAGAAATAGCCGCAAGTTTGAGAGTAATCATCACTCGTGTAGTCCCAAGAGTGTTCTTAAACTGAAGAGTAATCGAAAACTATTTCATATGAAATAGATTGCCGTTTTGTAAGGGGTCGCACTACCAGTTAAAATTATACTTTAGCAAGCAATTATGTTCCCCGTCTCTTCATCTATACATAAAGTACTTAGATGCTTGCCTTAGTAAACCATTTGATGGCAACTATCTTAAATGAAAGGATTTTCTTATTTGCGTGTCTGCACGAAAAATTATTCTAAATTGAATGACAGACATCGTGTTTACCCTCGTAATAAGCCAATTATCCATTAGAAAATGTTCGACATTAAACATAAACACTGTGAAACATGTACATTTTACTATTTACAATGATAATACGAGACAATAAAAGACGATAAATTAAAAGTTGGTACGTATTTATTGGTATCCTCTACAGAGGATTATAAGATTATTGAAAAAACTCAACTAATGAATTGGAAGAGTCTCGCATTTTTCATATTCTAAAACTGTGTCTTGCTCAACTAATTAGAAAATAAATTTTAAAAATGTCAGTCTATTGATATATTGATTCATGTGTTTCATAAAATAATAATAATAAAAAAATAATGTTGTAACTATCTCTTTCTTTTATTTAATTTAATTTTAAATTTGGTTTTAAAACAACCTACTTTTAGTAATATTTTCCTAATGATTATCATAAAACAAAAAAAAAAAATCTTTTAAACCGCCACAATTGAGTAATAGAATATGATGAAGGATGTATTTTTCTATTGTGTTGCAAAATCTTTGTTAATTTCGAAGACAGAAGCATATGACACTATTAAAATACTGGTATAGTGTAATACAATTATTATTTATTATTCTCAACATTTACATTAAAACTAATGTAAACCGAAAAGTAAACTTTAGTTGTTGATTAAAATGTATTTTCTAGAAGCTAGAAAGCCTATAGTAAATATGAATTGCTTAGGAAACCTACCAAACTGTAATAGCATAAGTTCTTTGCATGTTGTTTTAACTAAATTTATTGACAGTTATTTTGATAGTTTTTTAGTATTTTAAAATTAACACAAGATAAAAATAATAATAATAACAACAACAATGTATTAGTCAAGTTTGAATGTTTAATTTTGAGAATAAATGAACAATTTTGAAACATACGTCACTTTTGAGTCTCTTTTATTTTAATTATTTATTACGTTCTACAATTAAAGAAAGGATACTTATCCAAAAGATGAATTTTTTAATATAAAGTTTAATCTTATGTTCACTATTAGGTCAAATATAAGCACTTATTAGAGCAGCAATAGTTTTTATACACATAGATTATTTGGAATAAAAATACTCAATTAAGTATTAATTTTCAGTGATAACACAAAAAAATTAAAAAATCTTTTCACGCAATAATTAATTGTAATCATATACATAGATTTTTTAATTGAGATATATCATCATAATGGTCAAATCTTTTAGTAATAACAATGACATTAACCAAACATGTAATTACACTCTTTAACACGCAAAAGGGAAAATAAAAAAACGCACGCAACTATGTTTACGCTGGAATTAGTTTTGAATTGAAGCTTACACATCGCAGATAAAGGATTTACTACAACACATTTGTTAATTGAATTCTAAAGTGTTTTAGGTATATTTTCCTATAATTTTTTCAACAGGCTTTTTAAAAATGTTAATTTTTGACGCAACAAAACCTTGACGATATAAATTTATTATTTGATTGCTTTTTCAAATAAAACAATTAACATGTATAACTAAAATTTTATAAAAAGAAAAAAAATTAAAAGTTTTATACGTTGTTTCAATTGAAACTAAATTGTAAGAAATCTAAGTAAGTTACTATAAAATAAAAATTAAAAACTGTCGGTACAGCGGGTCTATTATAAAGTAGTATTATAAAGGCGACAAATAAAAACTTTCGATAAAAATAACTTGTTGAAAAACGTCATCAACACTCTTGCTCTTAACGTAAAATTGTTCATAATTTCTTTTCAAGTCCACTAACAGTTATCATTGGTCGTCTATTATCGGAAGAA